CTATAGTTAAACACCCTAGAAACATGAAGGAAGGAGAAAAATTACAAAGCCCTTCACTATGTACTTTTTTCCAGTCTTGTTACTTTACCCCTCCAAGGTTGAAATATCTTCCCAAGCACTTTGTACTCAACACAGTGCCATCTATGTTTCTTGGAATGATAGACCAACTGGTAAAAGGAAGAAAGCAATTTAATTAAATATTAACTTGTTTTTGTACATATTTGTGTTAATATTATGTAATTAATGTATGCACAGTGAAACTCCAGGCCAATGGGAAAACAGAAAAACACAATTTTAAATGATAATTTTAAAGCAATAATTAAATGGTTTTCTGGGTTAAATGAAGCTCAGATAGTGGGTATTTCCAGTTTTTATAATTACCCACTGACTTTTCCCCTCCAGATAATCGAGAGCTCAGCATACCCATTATTCTTCCCGTGTGCACCATGTCAGTAAAAACCATTGTCCCTGAGGTGCTTAGGGGAGTACAAGAGGTGTACCTCATACTTGTTCTTATTCTTAACCTCAGCACTATATGGCGGTGAGTGGTTAGCATCACACCCCAGGCACACTTTACCCCCAGGGAAAAGGACCCATAGCAGCCATTTTATAGAAGGCTGGGTGGGTCTGAGCTGGTCTGGATGCAGATGGTAGAACAACCCTTTACCCCTGCTAGGGATCAAACGCCAGTCATTCAGTCAGTATACACTGACAGAGACAACCAAGTTCACATTATGTCTGTGCATAAGTATATGTTCTGGACTGTTAAAGGTCAACACCTTTAACAGTCCAGAGACGAAATTTCAGCGTGGGTCCTCAGAATTAAGAAGCAGTGGTATCTTTCAATAAACTAATTGGCTAATAAATTAATCAATTCACCAACTCAACAGAACAACATTCTTTGAGCAGCTGATCACTACACAGGTAATCAAGAAATTTTCTGTTACTATGGAATCTCAAGATTAACCCTTGTGTTCACCACTGAACCAAATACTCAGTTCAATCCATTTCACATATTTACAGCCAATTTTTCTAAGATCATTCATACTCTCCCACTTGCTAAGCCAAAGTTTCCAAAATAGCCTTGTCCACTGAGGTTTTCAAACAAGTACATGTAACAAGGAAAAAAAATATTTTCCAACCGAGTGATTGAGGTTTGGACGAAGAACATGTGATCATGATAACTGTGTGGCTGGACCTAATTAGCTAGTGGCTGAGAATTACTGATATAGCATACCTAATATAATTTGAATGGGGAACAGAAATGGTTCATATTAACATGTTCACACTGAAGAAACTTGGTTCTTCCCTACTTGTATCCCCAACCACTTTACATCAGTACACACTGCAATGTTTGTTCTTTAAACTAATGTAGCATTGGAATATACCTCACAGACTTTCTTCATATCTTCAGCTGTCATCTTACAACATGTCTAGTAATGTTTTAAAGACAGGTCTTGTAAGACTCTCCTCTGTGAATAGAAATATGCTGTCATAGGTGCTTAAACATGCCCACAACAGTAGAGAAGCTTTTTGTCTTCTGAAATATGTACCTTTTCTTCCTTCCTACCAAATGCATCAATAAATAAATTTACTAGAGAATCATCAGCTAATGACATTACAACCTTTAAACATGATCCAGCATAAAATTAATTTCTGATGCTTCCAGTGACACAGGAGTGTCTCTCCTTTAAATGTTCAGAATATCACTGCTTCGAACACAAAAGAACTCTACCTGAGCTTGCTGGAGGTGGCAAGTTGGTATAAAGATGACTCTTATCGGGTGAAACTTGGCCATTTCCTCCAGAGCCACTCTGCAGCAAAGTACTGTATGAGGGTTCACACTGATTATTTAAGGAGTAACTCTTTGGAACCTGAAACAATACAGTAAGACCAGTTAGCTGAAGAATTAAAACAACTATGAACAACAAATAATTCTACTTCTTCTTTTTTCTATGGCACAACAGGCTGAAGTCAAGCCTTGGCCTCCTTAATAATTCCACCACCGATATGAAAGACCAGGGCAACCTGAGGGTATTTGAGATAAAAGTACCAACTGTTGCAATAAAGTATTTAGCAGTCCTGTTTTGTATATGGGAGGTCCCACACAAAAATCTTGGCCAAGAGACCTGCTGCTATCCTATCTCATTCATGATTTATCATCAATGTATCATTTTATGCTTTTTTATTCTTAGCAATTCAAAATGTCATTAATAAACCAATATTAAGCAAACAAAAATGGGACAAAAGAGCTGAGGAGAATATTCTGACAAAAGAATAAGAATGTTACAAGACAAATGAGATATCTACATGATGAAGAGCTTCATAATTTCATCTTCACATATTATCAGAATAACATAATGAAGGAAGGTGAAATTGGTGGGATACATAGTACAAATGAAAGAGATGATAAATTATACAGAACTTCAACTAAGAAAACTCAGGGAACAATACCAGAACAGGAAAAAATTGGAGGATAATATTTAAAATTTATTTAACAAAAACAGAATGTGAACTAGATTCAAATGCCAGAGGATAGAGGGCAATGGCTGGTTTATGAAAAGAGAGCAGTTAACCTTTTGGTTCTCAAAGGTAGGGATATTTCTAGCTAGCTGAGAAACTGCCAACTTTTCAAGGAAGGCCCTGTGCCATTTAGTTACTATGAGTCATAAACACTAAGTCAGTAAAGTGAACAGCTATTATCTGCATAATACAAGTCCAAATCACAGCAGAAGTCTTTGATACTTTTCTCATAATCCCTAAACACATAGTTTTTCCTCTGATCCTCCAGACAAATGGCAATATAGCAATAACAGGCACAAAATATAATAGAATTTGACCACAAATGTTTTTTGAACTGGAGGAGAGCTGGGTCACAAACTAAAACGATTATATTTTAATTTTACGTCCCATTCGTTTCTGAGAAATTATTAAGACTGTGGAATGATTACCTGACATATTAGACCATTATGAAACTCACACATCATTTTAATTCAGTTCAATTTCTGGCTAACAAGCCATCTAATTAGACTATGATTTTAATGATGTTTTTAGTCCATCCAGACAAGCTATGCAACAGTTTTAGAACAGAGTTAATTCCATATTCTTTGCTTAATGACACTGCATAGTAATGCCCCAGCTGGATTATGGACATAAGACCTAAGACCAACACAAAACTCAATGTAAAGTACTATGTGACTTGTGGCTGTATCATCATGCTGAATCACTGTCACCACATGAGTCACCTGAAGAGAGACAATGACATCTCTAACAAGCAAGAAAATTGTTAATAAACATGCGGTTTGGAAATTGGCTGTATTTCCTTAAACAGGAAGCAGGATACAAAGAACCCTAGGTATGGCTAGATTCAAACTCTGTATCCTGGCCCAAGATTAGTCTTCGATGATTTCTTACAATGTCGTCAGCAACCCCTGGATTTCCCATGACTTACTTGTGGCTGTGGTTTTTTTGGCTTGGGCGGTACTGCTGGCCCAACTTTTCGATTTGCCTGCAAATCTCCATGATTAAGTTGTAGGCTTGCTAACTGCTGCTCCAAATGACTTGTCATAGTTAGCTTCAGTACTTTCCCTGTAAAAGTATTAAAAACAAATAACAGTCAACTTTCAGGGCCAGAAACTAATATAATACCACGTCGTTTAACAGATGACCCCACATAATTCTAGAAACCGTGTTCATTACCACCATATAAACAATGTCCTTGTATGTACAGTAAAACCGACTACGAGTTATTCAAATCAGTTTGTTAATAGGCTAAAAATTAATATATGAGCACACAAACTTCTCTCACTGGCAAATTCTGACGAGTAACTTACCGCACCCACTTCTTCGGTCTAATCACTGATTACTCAACACCTGTTTCCTTTAAACAAGACTGCCAATTTACTGCAATGAAATTGACTATTTCTCTGAACACATAAGAACACTTGGTAAACACCTAACATGGTTAAATATATGCGAACTACGTAATTGTTTTATTCATTACACTGTTTGACACTAAACAAATACACAGACGACAATGTTCGAAAACAAAAAATCTATAATGTTTTAAGGTATTCTGATGAATTGCTGCACCCAGCCTGAGAGTTCACGACATCAATACAATTGTGCATATTGTCACACACATACAAATTTGTCACAGTTTAAAAATCGTCATAAAATATGGTTATTTGTACCATAGATATAAGTAACAGTTCTTCTATGATTACAAAACTGTTGGAACATAATATACGCAATTGATCGCGTTTGTGTGCTCTTAGTTATAACGTTTGCTCAAAGATGGCACCAAGTTGTAGAATATGACGACACCCTGCACATGAATTCCACGAATTAGCCTTTTAAAGGCTAGTGGTAAATAAATCTGTTTCACCTGCTCGACGGTCTGTAAGTCCGCACTTTCTTGTGTTTCGTATAAATCTTAGTGTACACAGCGACTATTTCCTCAAACAGCGGAAACAAACAAATCTTCGTAATGGTGAAGAATTATTTTCTTTGCGGTGCGGCCTGAATTAATAAATAACAGCACAACACCCACAGTGTTACACAAATGTAGCTAAACTTCAGTTTTTTGCAGACCCAAAAAAAGGACATCGCCAGTCAATTGTAGGTAACCCGGAGGATCAAGTAACATGTACGTTGACCCATCCCCTACGCTGGACTGACCGTAAACCTGGGAAGGTAAGAACGACCACAGCAAGGAAACGGCAAACTGACAAATGGAATATGATTTCTGTAGCCATGATTTTCGTAATTGGATCAGCAACGAAAACTACGTCTGTGTAATAAATATTTATGAATTTTAAATAAAGCAAGAGCACGGTTAGGGACTACCGTTTGGGCTCACGTATTTAAATGCCGGAAGTCAGTACGCATCCAGGAGGTCCTGAAACTGGAAACTCGATCATGTTTGTTGTCGTTTTCCTCGGTCTTAGAACAAATGCTGAGCAGGTATCCAAATTCCACGTTGTTCTACATGCCTCTAATGCAGCCCTCCCATAGCCAATAACAAACTTCCAACATAAAACTGTTACTAAACGCAGCCCTTCCAAGGAAAACATCAAAATTCAAAACTGTACACGAACGCAGTAAAACCGTGATCAACTTCTCCCCTACTCCACATTTCATCCCACCTTTACCACTTACAAATGTCTGTCAAAACAAAACCTATTTCTACCAGAAGGACGAGCGGGCACTGCCTGGGGACCTTCGTAGCAGGAAATCAAAATCTATGCCCCCCCCCCGTTTACAGTGCTATTGCGGGGAGCCACCGTGGAGTGAGTCCTAACTCCTGTTCCGACAAGCAACTTTACAATACGTTTAATGGCCATCATTTTTTTCAATTTACGAATTAAACATAATTTTATAGCAACGATATACCTACCTAATGGAATGGTCAGTATCGCCAGTAACAAAGCATGCCATTGGACACAATTCTGAGCCAACTCCATCCATCTTCACAGCCTCATAAGTACGCGAGAGCCAACATACGTACAAAACAGAAAGACGCAATTAACGCCCATACCTCGAGTGGAATTAGAATCCGTGGCCTTAGTGTTCGAGCAGCCAAGACGGCTTCTGATTTAAATGCTCGTAGTAAATGTGAACAGCCTACTTGTATTAGAAACCCCAAATATGTGCGTATTTTAGTGAAAAAGTACTGTAAGTAAAGTATTTATTGTATTTTATTGATTTATTCGAGCTTCCAATACTTTATTTATGACAAGCACAAGAAAGTAAATATTGATGGAGTGCCACATTATCAACATTGTCTGGACATTGCCTCGGGACGTATTTTACACACCTGTGCTTTAGTTATATAGTTTTTCAAGAAAGCAAATAACTTTTAATGATCTGTTATGCCACACGTAATACAACATTGTCATTTTATAAAGGAAGACAGGTTTACCCAACGATATCATTTCTTTATGTGTGTGTGTGTGTGCTATCATTTAATTTCTGATAGACTAACGGTTTTTATGAAACTTTGTATGAACGTCATGCTATTGGAGGCCAACGTACCTTCCTACTATTCAGTTCCTTAGACCTGCCACGTATAATACGGCATCAACATGGCAGTGTGCTTATACAAATTTAAAAATAAACTATTTAATTTATTATAATTAGTACAATTATTATTTTTTAAATAAATGTGTGTCCTTTCTCTATTTTGTCAGGCATGAAGGACACCTTACTACACTTTTAAATCTTTGAAACACAGTCGTGATTATATATACCACGTACCTTAACAATCAGCAAATCTACAATTTGTTTACAGAGAGTAGTGATGATTTTCTATAAACTGGGATAACTTCTTTAAATAACTTTAAGGAACTAATGTTAAATTTAAGGTGAACGTCGAAACCGAATTTAAATGGGTTATAAATCACTTAATATATTCGCACGGTCGAAAACAGGTGATCTGAAATCCAAGCGCTTTTTCTTTCTACCTCTAACATTAAAGCAACATTTGATCAATCTGTAGCAAGCGAGCAATGGTAACCCTTTCGTTAGAAAATTGAAAAACTAAATATATAAAATTGTATTAATTTCATTAAACATACTTTCTCTTAATATTAATTTCCTTATTAGCATTACGAGTGTAATGTTCGTTGAACAATCAACGAAATTCCCCATAAATGTTATTCAGAACTGGGATTCTTAAGGCGGTGAAGACGTCAATGTTGGTATCTACCACACGGCGTTACAACCAGGAACACCAGCATCGACTAACCCTTCAAAGCCCGAAGGCAAGTTTGTGTCACATCCACATCAACAATTAATAACTCTTCATTTTGTACTTGTGGTTTTAAGGTGTTTTCACGGCGGTGAGTACGAAGATGGCCGTCTTCTGGATAGCAGATGTTTACCGATGTTTTGACACGTACTCGCTACCTCCATCGTCAGAGTCATCGACAGAGCTGATATTGTTTCAAAAGTCTGATTAATCATAACATAAAAACGTCAGACAGCAAACCTGCATAGAGTGGCTGTGACTTTTCTTAGCACTCGTGCATAATTATTTAGCCTCGTGGGAAAATATATGCTGTTTACCGTGCGGAGGTCATGAATATGTAACATTTCTCTGTACTTTAATCTCAACTCATACATTAAAGTTTCTTGAAACTAATGCTACATTTCTCTTTTCAATAATTTTGGGCTCTAAAAGCAAACGACGTGACATCATAACATATTTCCGATTATTTATCGACGTGGCGCCACGAGACGACAAAGTTAAGAACCACTGACGCAGTTGATTTAATGAGTTATAACACAGCATTTTACTAAACACGTGGAATATTAGTGTTCGGTGGTAAGGAATTAGCCACTCCACATCTGATCGCTCATTTGATTATACGTAAGCAACCTCCGTGACAACCTACAGGCGAAAGGCAAGGTAGTGAGCAAGTAGTGAGGCAGTTGCAGGGCGCAAGTCACGAATCAATGCCTCAGTGAGTCAGCTCTCCCAGCACTGATCAGCTGTTCACAGAGCGCGCTATTGATCTGCAGACAGCATGGATCCTGTAAGGTAAGTGAGAATCCCGTTCTTCTTGATGCAGTGGTTGGTTGGGAGCCTCGCAGTCTCGCATAGTTTGTATGGTCTTCCGACAATTACGTAAGTGTACTTGCCTGACCTCTAAGACAAAGGTGTTAATTCTTGTTGCACTAAACGAGTGAGATAATCGTTTTTATGTGTTTTGTGCTTTGACGTCGTCACACCATTACTCAAACTACGCGTTTTACACAGTGAAATGACCAGTGCCACAGCTCAGGCTGGTTTTTATACGTATCAGGCTTTTTACATTAACGTGATTGTGCCATTGATCGGGTTATGTGTGCATCAAAGTAATTTTGCCACGGCACCCTGGAAGTGTGAATTTTATATCCAAGTGACTGGTGTTCAAGCGATTCGTTTCCAACATTCATATTTCCGCGCTATAGCTCAGGCTGTGCATTTTTGCAGTGCATTAACGTGGCTGCGTCAGAACTAGCAATAGCTGAGCTACTTCACAATCGCTTTATCGCCTGAGCTGTCATGGGCAGAACAGATTAGAAAAGAATTTTTTACATTCCATAGATCCTTCATAGGGCCAATCCAAGGATGTAGGGGATACCATAAAACAAATACAATACTTGTTTCTACATAGTTATGACAGTAATTTGCTGTCAACTAAAGTATTACCGAAAGAAAATATAACCACTATTGCTTACATATATTTATAATAACTGAAAACTTCTGTTTTGGGTAAATTCTTCTATGACCACAATGAAGGCGCTGCATGATTCGTTCAAGACACGCTTTTTCGAATAACCGGCGTCAAATACATAAAATACGCACTCTCAGTAAAGTAAAGTAAAGTTTGTCCCACTATACGCCATGTAGGCGTTTGGGGGGAGTGGAGGTATAGCTCCTCTCTTCCTTGACCTCGGCACTAGATGGGGGTGAGTGGTCAGCATCACGCCCCGGCCGGCTTTACCCCCGGGAAAGAACCCCGGTACCCATTGTAGAGGAGGCTGGGTGGGCCCCAGAGGCTAGAGGAAAAATTCTCTGCCCCCATCGGGGATCGAACCCCGGTCGTCCAGCCCGTAGCTAGTCCCTATACTGACTGAGCTATCCCGGCTCATACGCACTCTCAGTAAATAAGTAAAATTTAATGAAAATTTTGCAGTCTTATTAAAGCCATCATTCAGTATTTAGGAACTTATTTCCGTACGATAATAATGTATTTTATGAACACATGTATAAATGATAAATTCCACATGGGCCTGCTTAGAAATCGAAATTACCTGCATAAGTAGAAGAAGACTACACAAAAACTACATTATAGAAGCCACCTTTTTCGGACTGTGTGATTTATAAGCATTCTTTTCGTCAAAACCTTAAGACATTTCTATGTGATGACACGTAGTACATGAGGTATGAGAGAAATTAAACACACAAGGAAGCATTCCCCTGAAAATGGGGAGTCCTTAATTTATATGAAAATTAACTACTAAAGAACCGAACATAAACAATCAATATGTAAGGGGCGGGGCTGAGGACCGGAGTTTTTGATTGGATCGTCGTCTTTCGCGAAAGATTCCGCTGTTACCACAAATTAAACATGAGACTTTCGTAATACGAATCTAGACTTTTATTGTTTATTCCAGAGGAAATATATGTTTTCCTGTTACACGTTAAACATAAAAATCCATTATTTGACTGATTTTAATTTTATATTTCTACCCCCTTTCCACTATTCCAGGTGCAATCCCATCAAAAACTGTGTTCTTTCTACTATCTCAGTTACCCACATATAATCCCCTTGGTGCATCTTCTACGGTGTGAATTTGCATAGACAGCGGTCTTTTGCGTCATTATTAAGGCGAGAGTAAAGTCCCAGAAGCCTTTCGTCATGAACTTATCTCCCAGAACGGAATGATGCCGCGTTTCAAAACTCTTTTTATTAATGAACGTTGTACATTTATTTTAACGGATGAATGTCATCTGGTTATCTGATTAATGCATTAATGAACAAAATAATTTTCTTTTTTAACAAAATTGATGACCCCTGTTTCATAAATATATACTTTACGACATATTGTGTAACGCTGTGGATACCACGAAATAGATTACTTTCAGCCTCTTCTCAGATTGAATCGATTGTCCACTTGATTATCGCCACGTGACTGCCTCTTTGCCTTCCGTAATCAGACGTCCTTCAGATAATCATAAACTCAATAAGGATGTGTTAAATGAAATATGTAAGTACCGGACGACAGGCTTGTAGCTGCCACGTTTCAAACACGGAAGTGCAGTATTTAAAACAGAGAACGACACATATCAAATCCCCGAGAATCTGAAACGTGTCCCTAAAAAATTATCTTTCCGTTGCAGCCGAGTGTTACTACTCCTGCTACATATTCGGGATCTCCCTGGTTCAAATCTCGGTCCGGAAACCGGCTCTCCGTGATATTTCTTAGTTCCTCCAGGCAAATGCAGGGATAGCAAAAAATAGGCCATGACAGCTTCTTTCCATGTCCTTTCCCATTCATTATTCATTAATCGTCTAGCACTCTTAGCTATACAGTCCGAGATACTGACAAAGTTATTAAATAAACTAAAAATTCACATTGAGTCTGTATACAAACTAAATTTATAACAGATAATATTTCAGGTTTTAACGGCGACGAGTATGAAGATGACTGGCTGTCTTCTGGGATTTTGCGCCTTACGGTGCAGTAGAGAGTGCAAGCCAAATTTACACGCAGGCTAGTTTGATAATAAAATGTTCATTTATGAAGTAATGATCACGACAAGTGATTCGACAGAAACTGGGCTAGAAGTCTTGGTCCTACACGGTTCTTCGCATTGATAGAGTATCTCCGTGTATTGGATCGCTCTCGTGCTTCGCAGTCAGCAGGTCCCAAAGGCCGGCAAACGTGCATCCAATCTAAGAAAGACTTGGGTAATATCTTAAAGTGGTCATGACAACTTTCTCCCACATTCCTAAAATTTATTATTTATAAGCGTCATACAATTATAGGTTATATAACTTCTGCAGTTGCCAAAAGGAACCTGCCCGATCATAAGAGATTCGATTCCAAGTCGCAAGGCTTCTCGTGACAGCGCGTAACCTCGCGTGTCTAAGCCAGACTTTGTACGACCTGCTTAACATCTCGTGACTGCGCGTTAGTTGTACGCCATCCTATGAAAAAATCAGTTCGGCTTGCGTAACACACAGTTACACGAAATTAAACTATCTTCAGTTGAGATAAACCAGCCTTATCTAATGACACATAACTTAAACGTAACTAGAACCCAACGTAACATGATAACGAGGGCAGAGGTGGTCCTCGAAAAGTCTGCGACTTCTAACCCTTGGACACGGCTGATAGCTTGAGAGGATTTTATTAATGACCACTTTTCATGCACACCACAGAGTAGGCTTTTTGCCTACCTTTCCGGTGTCGTAGTTTAGACAAGAAAAATATTACCTCCTACCTTCAGGAGTTTAAACCTCGGCCAGAAGACCCTCTAGCTTAGCTGAGATTTTCCTTGGTTTTCCTGACTCCATCCGGTCAACCACTGGGATTGCACCTTAAATTTGGCCACGACCGCTTCCTCCCATATCCTGTAAGTTCATTGCTCATTAATTATCCTAACATAAGATGCTGCACTGACAGCGTTGCTACATAAATCGTAAATAAATAATAAGATCATCTTACCGTGCTTCGGTTTGAACATTTACGAAACTATTATCACAAGGACGACATAGTAAACCTTGGAAGCTAACTGTCATCATGCTATCGCTTAACGTCGAGTGAAGCCGAAGCCTTCTGGCACTACGTATGTAATCACAGTGCATACATAGATAAGTGGTTTCGTTCTGTGGGGAAGTACTGCATCTGACCACTTCGAAACAATGACTCCTACGTTTGTCGTCTCTTTGCTCGTTCCAGTCTTTCAAAATCACCTCACCACGTTTTACCTCGTAGGTCTAATATGAGATAATTAATGCGAAGTGCTTTTCGGACTTGGCCGTCACCTAGAACTACAGTGGTCGGAACTTGCAGACATAGTGGGAAGGCGTCCAAGACTGGCAAGAAAAATAAAACATTTAAAAAGAAACACGCAGTCTGCCAAAGTCAGACACACCGCCTAAAATTGTAATGAGGTTTCAAAGCAAACAAGAAATTCTAGGAAGAACTTACGACACATTCTTTGCTCGAAATAATTACATTTGCATATTTAGTGGAGCAGAATTTTATTAAGAAATGCTACTACTTGTGTGCATATTCTTTACTAATACAGAAACTAACTACAAATATGTGCCAAATATACGCTCAAAATCTCTCACCGTCGCCATGTTTGTAATTATTGGCATATGTATGAGCTACTGATCCACGCACATTTCGGGTACATAGATCCAATGGGTCATTAATTATTATTACCGTCTACGATAAACATGTATGTGCTGATGTTTAACATACTTCAAATGATTTTAACCTGACAAAAGTTTGATATTTTTAAAATATTTTAAAAAATATAAGGTTGGAAGTGTTCCTCTGGGTTAAAAGACTAATTAGTGATGTCTGAGATGTACCTTGACGTCCAATTAACCCTTGCTGAAGAATAGCGGCCGTAATGAAATGCACAGCAATGCGGTATTGCAGTCAATTATAAGAGAAATAATCACGTTTGATAGTCGACAGTTCCATCAACTTCTGAGTTAAAGTAGCTTGTAAGATTGGTATGTGGACTCTTTATCTTTTTATAAAAGCATTATTTACAATTATGCTTTTTTAATTGTCCTTGATGTGAATTTTGTTCATATGAATACCTTGTGATTTGTAACGAACTGCAAATTATCCCGAAAAAATTGTATAAAATATCGTGATTCGAAAATTTCACGAATTTCTGCAAGTATTGTAAGCGGATATTTTTATTTTCTGCTTGCATTCTGGTACTCCAAAACCTTTTGTAAATCCACCGCATGAGCAGTATCATAAATTTCCTTACAAGGTATTACCTTAAATTAGGCCAAAACTGTTACCTTCCACATCCTTTCCAATTCATTGCTCACTGTCATCCTCTTATCCCTTTCTTACAACTACAATTTTAGAGCCTACGCTCACGAGCCGTTTGGGCCGCAGCGGTTTCTCTACCGCATTGATGGAACGCACTGTCTCAGTAGGAAGCGAGCGCACTTGCGGTAGTTTTACAGCTGCGGTTTTTCTGCCGCAACATGCTTCATTTTCGATGCGGTGCGGTGGCCGCACAGCGGCTGGCAGTGGCAATAGAACACGAAGAACCCTTCCTCTGTGCGCGCACGAGCCGTGAAACTGCCACACGGCGACCACTGTTTGCCCGGCCTTGGTGTAACTAATAGGAGAAAAGCCCGGCACTGTACAGTTCGGTCATATCGGAGTACAGAGACAAAAATTTAAGAGAAACTGTGGATAGAAGTCTGTGAAGCTCTTCTGCCGAACTCGAGCCAACTTGACAAAAAAAAAAAGCATCTGAACAATTTCTTTGGATACATAGATCCTCATATAACTTTTGAAAATGGGCTTTCAATAATCTTTGACTTACAAGCGGAGGGAACCAAAATTTATTTCTACGCTTTTCCCTCCCTCTTAGCAAAAAGCGCACACAGCGACAGTCTCAACAAAATCCATACCTCGACTTAGCCTAGAGCACACGCCAACTGCATCCACAAAATCCAGCTCCCAACTGAAAAGAAAACGCAAACAATGCGTTTCTTTCACCGTCCGTAAGTACAGGCAACAATAATATGCGGTTTCGGTAGTTTTACGGCCGCTGCAGAAAAATCGATCTTGCCCGCTAGTCCTTGGGGCCAACAGCACGTGGTGTTCCTAAACGGTCACTAACGGTACTAACCACGCCCAGGTCACTGGCCTGGAGGTTGGATTGGGTTAGGTTAGGTTAGGTTAAGCTAGGTTAACTAAGGTAATGTTAAGTTGCTTAGGTTAGGTTAGATAAGTTTGTCTTTTTTTCGATGGGTTAGATTGTCCTAGAGAATTTGTAGCGTGTTCATCAGGTGGTCGTGCGGATGTCCTGGAGAATTCCTGGAAAAGCCCTGGAGAAATTCTGGATAAGTCGTAGAGTGGACCCACCATTTCCCCAACAGTCAGATATACAATGAATTCTTCTCGGGCCGGCAGCCATGTGAGGTGGTGTATTGGAGAAAGGACTAAAGTTTCGAGAACTTCAATACCCTGAGGACGTCAACGAAGATGGTTCTCAATCGTTTGTCTTTTCTGTATTAAATCACCTTACACGGCTGACAGTCCGAGAAGAATTCATTATACTTAGTAGCCGTGAAAGCTTCAGATCATACATGTCAGACATATTTTACTTATTCTCCCATTTAAACCTGATTTTGTAAAGACATTTTTCTGTTTTTTTTAAATCACCAACGTTAATATAATTTATTACTCTTGTATAAGCAGACAAATGAAATGGCCTGGTAGAAAGCCCAGCCCGTCAGACGCTATGCAGCGTTGTAGCAACTGACAATTAAAATTCGACCCGTCTTAGTATCAACGCGTGAAGAATATAAACATCAAGTTCCCCATTAAGCAATTTTCTCAATCATCCTGCTGCTTCCTACGTATATATGATGTCCAAGTATTCTCAGAACCTCTTTCTTAAACGCAGTTAATGTTCTTACCTTAAAATTAGGAGACCCTTTTTAAACATAATACAACCAACTAACTAGATGGCTTACGGAACCCGAAGGTTCATCATCGAATTAACCAAAGCCCTCCACTGGACCCTGTCCTTGGCCAACAAAATCCAGTCTCCTTGAACTCCTATCTCCCATAGATCCTACTTGAGATTATCCTCCCATCTACGTCTAGGTCTCCCCAGCGGTCTCTTGCCCTCAGGCTTCCCAACCAATACCCGGTGCACACCTCTTGTCCCATCCATGCGCGCTACATGCCCGCCCATCTCATTCTTCTTGATTCTTTCACCCTGACAATGCTGGGGGGAGGAGTACAAATTTAAGTTCATCATGATGCAGTTTTCTCCACGCCCCATCGTCTTCCCTCTTAGGCCCAAATATCCTCCTCAACACCCTATTCTCAAACACCTGCAATCTATGTTCCTCCCTCAGAGTGAGAGACCATGTTTCGCACCCATACAAAACAACAGGCAAAATTATTGTTTTGTACACTTTAATCTTCAGGTTCTTAGAAATCAGACGGGAAGACAAAATATTTTGGCAAGCATTTCTGGAATTTAGTCTCCTCCTAACTTCCTCATAAATATCATTTTGATTTGTTAATGTTGTTCCCAAATATTTGAACTTTGTCACACTTTCAAAGGATTTATTTATTAGCCACCTAAGAAAATTCTGCCCGCCTGTCTGCTGACGTGTACTTAGTTTTTTCCTACTTTACTTCTAGCCCCACCTGTCTACTAGCCTCTAGTTAAACGTCTGCGGTCCTCTTTGTTGTATTTATATCGTCAACCAATAAATTAACATCGTCAGCATATGCCAATAGCTGGTGTGTCCCATTCAATTGCACACCCTCCCGCCTATTTTGGACTTTCCTAATGGCGTATTTTAGCGCAAAATTAAAGAGCAGTGGAGACAAAGCATCTCCTTGTTTCAGACCGTTCTTGATGGAAAATGAGTCAGATAAATATTTACCTATAAGAATTTTGCTACAGGTTTCATTTAAGCACACTTTTATTAAACTCACTAACTTGTTCATACATGATACAACAGGAGGTAAAATTAATAGTTTTATGGTACGTTTACTAATTAGAGTTAAATAGGTATGAGGTACGTTTGACAGTTGTGGTAGAAACGAAGCAATGTTTCTGAAATTGACTGTTTTTCTATATTACAAGGGGCGTCCAATTGACTGCAGACAATTGTGGATCTGGGGTTTAACTGAACAGACTTCGTTAACACTGAACTGATCTCAAGTGTCCTCGAACTATTCGTGCGTCAGAGCAACAATACTTGACGCAAAACCATGTTTGGTGGGGAGAGGTCCATCTCATCGATTAAACTCTCATCTCTGAAATTAAGATAATGCATATCCTAACCGATCTGTATTATATGATAAAGATTTTATGAAGATAAAATGTTCAAAACTTACATCAACAATGTTCCAAATGTAAATCGAATGTTTCGATAAGGAGCATCACATGGTATTTTAACTATCTTAATTTTAAATTTTAAATTGTGATTAGACGGACAAGACTAATTAAATATATATTTTCACAATATGACGCAACTCTATCATCTTACATCAACAAAGCAACATCATAATTTTATTTCCTTTAATTTATTTAACTGTTCTATAAAACTGTAATTATTACTTGCCATGATTAATATGTTAGACTAATCTATTAATTCTTCAATACTCATTAATTTTTTCGGTTATTATGACAGCCTTATACAGTTTTTTTTAGCTCCGCACTGCAAGATTTAGCTTAAAATAACATTTTTTCTGTCTTTGCCTCTTAAAGTTATAAATCCCGAATGCTACTCAAGGGATACCTCGCTTAAGTCATGGGCCCCTGGAGACACATCGGGACTAGAACACTTTGGCCCAATTAATCGGCTGCCCCAATTACGCGAAGTTCCAC